CTTGGCAGAGATGAGTGAGTGCCTCCTGTGCTGCCTCATTTTCTTGAAAGATTTCAATTTTTATTCCATCAATTCCTGGTGCCTTGTTCTTGGCCCATTCCTTCAATGCACCTTGGATTTCCTCCTTCAGTATCATTAGCTCTTGATCACATGCTACCTCTTGAAACGGTTGAACATTAACCATTTCCTTTTGGTACAGTGACTCTGTGTATTCCTTCCATCTTCTCTTGATGTTTTCTGCATCATTCAGTAATTTGCCCAGATCTTTACCCTCTAGCCCATGAATAATTTCCTCTCTCCTCTGCTCCCTGTAACCACCAAAGATTGTTTCTTTTATTAAGAAAACATTTTTATAACTTTTTGCAATATTGATCTCATACAGTATTTGTCATTCTGCCGTTTTCGAAATAAAAGTTTGAGTTCTGGCCCGTATTCTTCTCTGATTTATCCAGGACTAAGTATTGTGTCCCCAACAGAAGGGTCAGTGCTAACCAGGCACCATCTAGTTCTTCAGGCCTCAAGGCAGATGAGGCCATGATGCTCAGAGCTGTTCTCTCAGCAGTTGGTTATTTACTGATGTTTTGATTCTGGCAAGTCGAGATCCAAAAGGCTAAAGTACAAGGGGAGAGTGGTCAAGTGCACAATGCCTCCCTTGTTGTGCGGCTTCTCCTCCTGCTATGCCATCTTCTCTGGGCCCATAAACACAATGGAGGGGTGGCGGACTGTCCGTAGGCCTCTGTCTGAGCTCACCCAGGTGTGGGCCTGAGCAGGCAGCAGCCTTGGTCACACACCTGCCCACCTCCTATAGATGACCCCACACCTCCTGGAGGACCACTGAATAAACCCACCTTAGAGCTGCATTCTGAGCATAGGGTCATCTTTCTCTTTCATTTTCCTGAATATTATAAAATCGTTCCGAATTATTCTCTGGACAGTTTGGACCACTTTTGTCCTAAATTGATGACAGAGTAGAGTGTGGGGGTGGGGGGCTTCAAAACATGGAAAAATTCCATCTTTTCATTCCACCTAAACACAAACTTTTTGAAGCCCCCTCATTTGTACATTATGTCAACTTCTAGATGTCTGAACCCCAAACCTGCCATTACTCCATGTCCTGTCCAAGCATCATATGGCAGGCACACACACCGGGAGGGTCTGCAAGCAGGAAAAGGGAACACATGCACGAGATTGCAACATTCTCCGTGAAAGTACTTTGGAGACAAAATACGCTCTCAAGTCAGTTCCGACTTAGGGACGCTACAGGGTTGCCAGGGCTGTAAGTCTTTGTGGGACAGTGAGCCTCATCATTCTCCTGTGGAACAGCTGGTGGGCTTGAACCACCAACCTTGTGGTTCGCAATCCAGTGCTTATCCTACAGAGCCACCATGTGCCCTTGGAGAGAAAAGAGACTTTTTATTACTGCTGGAATCAGGCATCAAATTTTATTATACAAACCCAACAACCTGTCAGCAGGGGGGTCTAACAGTGAGATCTTTGACATCAAAATCGAGGTTTCCCAGGACAACACATACAGAGGCATCCTCATGGCAGCCCTCTGAGGGACGGAGGGCCACCACTCAGGGTGGGTCCCATCACTGAGGAGGGACAGGCTGACACACGGGGGGAAAGGGGGTCCTGTCACTGAGGATCGTTTGCCATTCAGACATTGACGCTGCCCGGAACTGACATCCACAGGTGGCCCTTCAGTTCCATGAAGCTAGACAGTGGAGAATCTAAAGGACCTTTCTTTTTTGGTTAAACATTCTGCTGTGTCGTGAAGCAGTTCACAAGGTCTGAGGTCGGAACAGTGTTGTTCAAGCAAGTCAACCAGATACAGTTCTAGTGAAATGGGATGACATGCACTTAACTATTTTAATCAAGACGCTTAACAAATTTTCAGTGTTTCACTGGATTTGTGCTGCATATGTGGCTGACTTTGTCTAAGTTTCCTTTAGAACACATCTCCCAGTCCATCAAAACCTAGTGCCCTGCTGGGCTAGCACCGGCCCTTGGGCAGAAGGCTTCTCTGCCCTTTCCCCACACGGTGACAATCAAAAGCCTGTGTTTTCCTCTCCCTGCTCACATTGCACGACTCTTTTATGAAAAAAAAACACATTATTTTTCTTGTTCTCACTAAAGTATTCTGCTTGATCTCAATGAAATGAAACCAAGTGTATGATTTGTTGAATGTAAAACTGATGATCTTGTCCGTTAACTTTCATTCAACTCACGATAAGTTTATATATATCTAAGGAGCTCTGGTAGCGTAGTGGTTACGAATCGGGCTGTGAACCGCAAAGTCAGCAGTTCAAAACTACCAGCTGTTCCACAGGAGAAAGATGAGGCTTTCTGCTCCCGTAAAGATTTACAGCCTCGGAAACCCTGTACAGGGTCACTATGAGTCAGAACCGACTCCACGGCACATAACAACCACAACAACAACATAGAGCTAGCTAGATATGGATATTCTGCTTTCTTCCTGTTTAAAGTTGGAGAAAGGGTTGATCTGCCCCTGGGGTTGTCCTCATTTGAATTCTGTGGCCTGTACTACAGGTGGGGGACTCGTGCCATGCATACCCACTGCTCTTTCTGAGTTGTGTCCTGACAGCAGAGTTTGGAGACAAGCTAACCGGCACATTCCCGTCTGCCCTGCACAAAGCTCAGGACCCACCTCCTAGATCCAGCCTGGACTGAGGGCCCCCTGCTTCGTGGCTGTCCCAAGTGCCGAAAGTGTTGGCAATGGGGGGAGTGAGGAGGAGGGGGGACAGAACAGCCCCCGCACACTGTGGACGGAGCCCAGCTAAGGCAGGGCCACCCTGGGGCTGGTGGGTACTGGGTGGAAGGAGCAGGCCTCCGTCCTTGCTGCCAGTGGATGGTCCACTTAAGGGCCAGCTCCAGCTGGCCACTCCAAGCTGGGTCCTAGCCTAACTGCAGAGGCACCCACTGTACCCACAACTGGCTGCCTGGACACAGCTGGGCTCACCCTCACCCTCAGGCTCACGTACCATGGGTGCATGGATGTGGACCACTCCAGGGCCCCACCACAGGCTGGAGGGGTCTGTACCTGGCTCTGGCAGCGCACAGGCCCTGGGCTCAGTGCTGCTGGGAGCTGTGGTCTCCACAAAGCCTGCTGGTCAGTCACAGATGGGCACTTGGTGCTGCTGGTTCACAGGTTCATAGCCACACCTTCCCCACGAGTTTCTCTGTAGCACACTGGAGTGGGGTGAGCCCAGGGCCTTGCCTTGCGTGGACTCTGGGTCAGTGGTAGTGCTCACGCCCCACCTGGCCTGAATGCAACCACTGGACCTTGGGACTAAGACCCCAGGCCAGGACACATGCTGTGGGTCCCACTCTGGACGGGTCAGGGCTGATGCACCCCTTCCCTTCTGACCTCCTCAGGTGAGCCGCGTTGTGGCATGCCGAGAGTGTTTCAGGAAGAGCCGAGGGCCTGAACTCAGCCCCAACAGTGGATTGCCCAATGACTCTATGAGTCCTCAGTAAAGACCAGTAGTGCCAGTCCTGAGAAAATGACCAGTCCACCAACCAGCTGCTGTGGAGGCAACTCACCTCATGGCACCCTCGGAGGATGCTTGTCCGATAGGCGGCGCTCCACAGGGTCTCCCCTGATGGTTCAAAAGTACATCACCAGACCTTTCTTAAAACGGACTCTAGTTGAAACGAGATTTATTTTGCTTAATGTTTCATTTTGAAATGACATCAAAAGATTGCAAACACTGTACAGAGTTTTCATTTATCCCTCACCCAGCTCCCTAATGTTAACACCATACACAGTATTGTTAGGTACAGACGGATGAGTTGGTTCCCACGCACAACAGAAGGAAACACTGCGCAATGCCGCACTTATCCTCACACTTGTTCTTTTATTTGAGACCATTGCTGCACCGACCGTGTCATTGGGCTCTTCCTCTGTTGCACATTGCCAAGCAGGACGTCCATTTCCAGGGACTAGGCCCTCCTGATGACAAGTCCGAAGTAACGCATCCTCCCTTCTATGGAGCATTCTGGCTGTATTTGTTCCAGAACAGATTTGCTCATTTTTCAGGCTGTCCTTGGTATGTATATTGTAGGTACTCCTCACCAACTCCATCATTCAAATGCACAGATTTTTCTACAGTCTTCCGTATTCATTGTCCAGCTTTCATGTGCATATGAGGCCATTGGAAATACCATGGCTTGGGTCAGACTTAACTTAGTCCTCAGAGTGGCATCTTAGCTCTTTAACACTTTAAAGAGGTCGTTTAACAAAAATCTTGATCATTTTTATTTTACAGTAGTTTTCTAGCATATACGAAGGGGCTTCACAAACTTGAAAAAGAATTTTGTCCACGTATTTTTTGACACCACCTCACATGTGTTCCCTTATGAACTTTAATACCAGCTTATCTAGCTCCAACAAAAAAGCTCGTTTGTGATTTGTTGGGAATTAAAACAGAGAGAGCTAGCAGCTTTCTAACGTTGAATGAGCCTGTCCGAGAACAGGCTGTCTTTCCGCTTGTTCAATCTACTTTTGTGTTTTCCAGCAGAGTTGTACTGATTTCCTTTCCATCATTCCTCAGAAACTCTATACGGGGTCACTGTGAATCGGAACTGACTTGAAGGCACTTCAACATAGGATTTATGGAGTCCCCGTAGCGCCCTAGGATAAGCACTGGACCACAAGGTCAGTTTGAACCACAAGGTGGCAGTTTGAACCCACCAGCCTCGCCTTAGAAATCTTACACAGGGTCTCTCTGGTAGCATAGTGGTTCAGTCGGGCTGCTAATCTCAGAGTCAGCAGTTCGAAACTACCAGCTGCTCCGCGGAAGAAAGCTGAGGCTTTCTGCTCCCGTAAAGATTTACAGCCTCGGAAATCCTTTGCAGGGTCGCTATGGGTCAGAACCGACTCGATGGTACATCACCACCACCACGAGTCAGAACCAATTCGACAGCACTGAACAACAAATAGGTCTTTTAGGACTCCTGGGGTGGCGCTACAGGAGAAGCACTGAACTGATAACCACAAGGTTGGCAGTTCAAACCCACCAGGTGCTCCTCAGAAACCCTAAATAGGGTCATTATGAGTCAGAATCGATTTGACAGCACTTAACAACCACCTTACTGAATGAAGTCTTTTCTTTGATTGGGTTTTATCATTGATTCTCTAGGATGTTGCCAATGTATCATTTACAGTTACCAAAAACCATTCCTGTCCTGTCAATTCTGTTACCCCATAGCATTTGTAAATTGAGTTTTATTTCTTCTTCACCAATTGTTATGCCCCTAATAAATGTCTCCTGTCTAATGGCCTTGGCTCAGCCTCTTGTATCATATTAAATAATATAAGTACTGGGCACCCACCCCTATCTTGCTCTGATCTTAATGGAATTGCTTTGTTTCTCCATATGAAATACTGCCTTTTGTATATCACTAGCACAGTGTGTCTGTGTGTGTGTGTGTGTGTGTGTGTGTGTGTGTGTGTGTAGAAAAGGTGTTGAATTTTGTCAAAGGCCTTTTCAGCATCCATGGAAATGTTTTTTCTTTGTCAATATATGATAAACAGATTTCCTAATAATATTTAACCAACTTTATATTCCTGGAGGAGTCTTGGTGTGGCGCTGTGGGTTAATGCACCAGACTGTAAAGCCATTTAAACTGCAAGGTTGGTGGTTCCTGCTCACCAGCTGCTCCTCGGAAACCCTATACAGGGTAGCTATGGGTCAAACCAACTCGACAGCACTTAACAACATATTCCTGGATGAAATCCCACCTGGTCATTGTATGTATATAAGGGGCCTTCAACAAGTTTGTGGAAAAATTCCATTTTAACTCCATTTTCCCACAAACTTTTTGATACCCCCTCACTCATTTTATTGTGGGTTTGGTTCTGTTTTTAAATACTGGATCAAAGGTTAATGCTTCATTAATATTCATGAGCGATATGGGTCTGTTGTTGTAAAGTGCTGTCAATAAGTTCCGACTTACTGCGACCCTGTGTAGGGTTTCCCAGGAGTGGCTGGTCCATTTGAACTGCCACACCGTTGTTACAGACGCATGTGTGTGTGTGTATGTATGGTGCTATAGGATAAGCACTGGACTGCAAATCACAAGATCAGGTCAGCAGTTCAAATCCACCAGCTTTTAGACTTAGGGACGTTCACAGCATCCTGAAGGTTCCATAGGGACGGGGCTACCTGCATTTCATGAAATGGACTCAGAGAGCATCCTGCGAAGAAATCCAACATGTGTCCTCCCTTGCAGGAGAAGCAGTAGGTTCTTATTTGGTAAAGCCAACAAATGGTTTCACATGAAAGAGATGTTCAGGGGAAGGGAGGAAAATTTACAAGGGTTGTCAGATCACAAACTTTCTTAATTAGGATCCTAGCCTAACATTAATTCCCCATCTCCCTAAAGCATACTGTGTGAATGTTTTGGTGTGGGCCTGTAGTGATTTTATCAAGTCAAATACAACTGAAGTGTAAGAGTCCGAGAGAACTTTGAATGCTTTGAGATGCAAACCACTGCCCCTCTAGAGGGAGCGCATTAGACCAGGACAATTCACCACATACTTCACGGAGCAGTTAGGATGGCAGGTTTAACAAGCACAGGACAATTGTCTTCATCTATGGGAGAAATTCTGATTCTTGCCTCCTTTGTTATTCCAAAAGTAACACTTAGACAAGGAAAAGGCTTAGTGGCTTTAGAATGATAGTAATGAAAATCTTGTCAAGGGCCCTTGAATGGGTCCCAACTCCTAGTGACCCTTTATAGTTTCTGAGGAGGGGCTGGTGAGTTTGAATCGCTAACATGCGGTTCAGACTGACTTTGCAGTCCCTTACTTTGTCTTACTTGCAAATGAGTTTGGATTTATATTTGCAGTCACCCTGTTCCAATGTGCCATCTCAATCTTACCTGGGGTTCATACCCACATCACCTAGATAACTGAAGGACAGCTTGGCTGCATATAAAATCCTTGATGTATGCTTTTTCCAAGTATTACTTTAAAAGACCGTTTTTTAAATGCTGGCCCGTTGTTGCCTTGCTTAGGTTGTTTTTGAAACATTTCATCCTTTCGTCATTTAACCCTTTCATTCACTCAGCCTGAGAGCAGGAGCCTGTCTTGGCTTCTCAGTTTGACTGCGGACCAGAACCATGAGCATCTCCTGAGAGCTTGTTAGAAAAAAAGGTGGAGCCTGGGGCTGCACACGTGGCCAGCTGAGTCAGAACCACACCTAACTCAACCCCTGTGTGTGCTCACGGGAGGTGGCAAAACCCAGTGCATCTTCACTCCTCTTCCAGTGGGGGTTTTCTTTCCAGACATGAGAGCTGCTCATGTCACAGAACAGGGGTCCTGGCCCCCCAATCCCACACTGACCTAGGCCTGCACCACCCGGCTGCTCGCCCAGGACATCCAGACCAGGAGACTGAGGTCCCCCGACACTGGTGTCTCCTTGTGCCCCTGGGTGGGGGGAGTGGAGGGGAGTAAGTCTTCATGCTAAAAGCTAGGGAGCCCAAGGCGCAGAGACCACACATGGGAGCAGTCCTAGAGGGCTGCTAGATGCAAGATAGAAGTCAACCAAGCCAGACCCATTGCCTCCCCATTGATTCTGACTCAGAACTACCCCAATGAGCAGCTGGTGGGTTCACACTGCCAACTTTACGATTAGCAGCACAATGCTTCACTCACCGCGCCACCAGGCAACAATGGAATAGTTACAATGATCACCAGAACCACGAATTGGGAGTCGGGAAAGAAAGCAGCTTTGTAGAGCACTTAGCAGGGAGCCAAGTTGGCGGAGGGGGCTGCCCATGTGTGCTGCACAAGGTGACGGCCGGGCAAGCGGCACTGCCCACTTCATCTCAATCCCAAAAGCTACAGTTGGGCCCATGTGACAGAAGCCCACGGCCCCCCAGGATTCTCCCAGGGTCTGCTGGATTCAAACGGCCAGCACCTTAACAACAGCATCAGCAGGACGCCCTAAGAACAAGGGCTACAGCTCCTGAAATAGGTCACTGCTTTGGAAGGACACTAGCCTGGAGTGTCTGAAAATGTTGGTCAGAGGGGAGCACATTGTGAGGGAAGTGTGTCCAACCTACTACTGCCCAATCTGTAAAACTCAAACTCTGCTCAAGGTTCAGAAAACCCCATTTACAACTCGTAGCTAAATGCTAACTTCATCAAAATGATTCAGATTGTGCTAAGCATTTTAAGGAGCTATGATAGCGTAGTGGATATGAATAGGGCTGCTATCCTCAGGGTCAGCAGTTCGAAACTATCAGCTGTTCCACGGGAGAAAGATGAGGCTTTCTGCTCCTGTAAAAATTTACAGCCTCGGAAACCTTACACAGGATCGCTATGAGTTGGAACTGACACCTCCACACAACAAGAGAAAGCATTCCGTAGCGTTCTCATTCAATGAGTAACAGGTGGGGAGAGATTTCTATCAACAACAGAAACAAAAACTGATCTGCAAAAACCATTTAGGCGATTCAATTCCATGCCCTGCCAGTATCTTAGCTGAAAGGTAAATTTATATGTACAGGAATCCCCCACTTTCCAAGTCACCCTTATACCACTTCACTCTCAGAAAAGACCTATAACAGTACCAATGTTCACTAACCAGAACCTGAGGAGGGTTTTCACGTTGAAAGCGAGCAGAGCTAGCATTCAGCAGGTTTGTAGGCAGCCCTCAGAGGCGGCGGGCGGCAGGAAGCTGCTGAGTTCGGGCCCATCCAGGTGGCACGTGGTATCTGCTGGGATTTGGCAGGTTGTTTTTGGGTCTACAACACTCAACAAATTTCCCATGTACTTTCATGTTCATTGCCTCCTCACTTCACTCCATTTAGGCTCCGGAAACTTCACAGGAACACTCTTTTCAGATTGCCGGAAACCTGCATGTGTGCTTGGCACCGCTTCTAAGATTACAGGCTGGAGAGGAAAAGTAGGAAACTCCAGCTGGTCTTCGTGTGACGTGTTATGTCGAACCTTTGAGTGGTCTTCACGTCACATGTATGTAGCCCTTTGGTCTTCATGTCACACATATGTAAAGCACTTCGGCAGCAACAGAGCTTGGTACCCACTGCTCATTTCACTGCCGGTGAGGGGACAAGTGTGGCTGCTTTTGCCCCCACATGATCATTCACAGGCTTAGCAGGTGAAACTGGCGTCTCCTCAAATGTCCAGATGCAGCTTGGCCTACAGGACACAGCTGTCACACAAGTCCCTCCTTTCTGATTCAAACCAACTGCCTTCCTTCTGCCGGGAGACGCGCTCTCCTCAGTAGGAATTCCAGTCCAGCGCGGCTCTACTCCAGTACAGAGCATGCTGCTCCAGGGAAGTCGTTTAGATGTCAATAAAGGTTTCAAGAGGTAACATGTGAGATTTATTTTAACACAACTGAATTAAATGTGGGAAGTGAGATGAAGCCTAGCATACAGAACAGACCTCAGAGAAGCAGCCTTTAAGAACTGTGCCAGAGTCACGGTGAACAATGTGACAATGGTGAGGGGTAAGTGTGCCTTACTCAAGAAGCTCTGAGGGTGTCAGGGTTCAGATCATCTCTAAAGGGTGCAGTTCTCTTTCTGAGATGAAATCAGGTGACCTAGCACTTGAAGAAGGAGACCTAGGGAGCAGGTGGCCAGGACAGAAAACACATCGTCCCAGAGGATTCCTTGACAGTTGGAGCTGTTAGTGCAGGTGGGTGTGTGAGGTGGACAGGGGACGTTGGGACCTGGCTTTTGATTTCCTACTTCACAAAGAACAGCCAGCATCACTCCCAGCAGGCTTTAGGAGAGCCTCAGCCTGCGTCCATGAAATGAAGCACAAGATGTCTTCTATGCTACTGAATGCATATAAGGCCACGATATTTATTTTGGACAAGCCCCTTAATGTAGTAGTTTTAATACCAACATTATCCTTTCTTCTGAAATACAAAGTATTTGAAAAGAACTACAGTAACAGATAATTTTTGTTAAAGTACTAATACATCCTGACTCGTATATTAACATTATTTATACTAGGATATCATATACAAAGAAAATTTACTACCAAACACTGCAGTAGATTAATCAGTCTGACATGCGTATGAACTGACCCCACAGGCATGATTCTAGGTTAGCATGGTTTCGGTGCCATTCTTCCGTGCCACTACTGGGTCACAGCGTTGACAGAACACATACACCAGGCGAGCAGCCACCCCGGAGCCAACCCCCTGTAGTGGGAGATGAGCTCCATCCCCACACGAGAAAACGCCTCCTCAGAAGGTGCTGGTCGAGGTGGTCAGGCGCCTTCCAATGTAGATCCTGGAGAGAGAGCAGCGAGCAGCAGTTAGTGTGGTCTTGCGACCCACCGACTGTCCACAGAGCTGAGATGGCAGCAACTGTGTGTGCTTATGGACTAAGGTTTTAAACACTGATTTTAAACGTCTGTAATGAATCTATTTGCAGTCTTTTATTCTCCAACCAATGCACAGTACACTTACTCCTCATTACAACGTGCACATGAGACACAAGCAGCCAGCTTGGCCATCGGTGCACTCGTGAGCGCATTCCCACCCACTTCTGGAGGCTCTCAGTGACACACGTACTTAACACGTTTGGCTGCTAATCAAACGGTTGCAGGTTCAAGTCCACCCTGAGGCTCCTTGGAAGAAAGACCTGGTGATCAACTCGGACACAAGTGGGGGTCATCTGGTGACGTGGCACTTACCCAAGGCCAATGGCCAGCAGGTGAGAGAGCAGCAGAGATGGGAGGAATACCTTCAGGAACTCTGCTGAGAAGATGCCCCCCTTCTTCATGACACTGGTGTTCCTCATGCTGAGGGTGGTCGTGCGCTTTGGATGCTTGAAGAGGAACTCCCTAGGGCAGGAGAGGAGAGCGCTTTAGCCACGTGTCCTGTGTCAGAGGAAGAGCCACCATGCCAAAGAGCCTCACTCACTTGGGGGGGATATTCTCTGGACGACTTGACCAATCCCATATCCAGTCCGAGTTCTTCTTCAAGATGCTCTCCACTTCTTTTCTCCTTTCCATATAGTCTTCCTCAGACTATAGGAAGAAAGCACAAGTGAGCGGCACAACGTGCTTCCTCCGGTCCCTGGCCCCCACCTCAGGCAGCAAGGTGGCTGGGGTTGGGGTGGGGCTTCATTTGGGACCCCCCTCAAAGACTTCTGTGAGGGCCCTGCACTAAGACTGGTTCCCAAGCAAAGAGCTGCAAGGAGGGCAGCACAAACACCCCACGGGGGCATGACTACAGCCCGGCCATGCCCCATGCTGTGGGGGCTTGCACGCTCCTGCAATGCTGGAAGCGAGGCCACTTCACACGGCAGCAGGTCGCTTACGGAGCTTTCAGACTAAGAGACCAGAATGAGGACCTGGGAACCGTTGTGAGAAAGCCTCTGAGTAGCCGAGGAATATGGGTGCTCCTCGGGTTGGAAAGCCATCCAAACTCTACTAGGAAGAGCCGCCTCCTCACCTGACACACCTGAATGGAGCAAAGCTTTTGGGAGTCTCATTTGCTGATGGGTCATGGCTCAAGAAAAAACGCTGCAAGTATCCATTAATCATTACAACATGGAGTGGAAAAAATAGGAAATCCAGGAAAATTTTAAGTCATCAAAAATGAAATGCAACTCCTAACAACTACTATCCTAAGCATTCGTGAGGAAAACTGAACTAGTGAACTCGTGTTGACATTCTGTGGTAGAAATCACTGCAAGACCAATGACTTATTTGGAGTCCTGTTTTGGCACTGTAGGATAAGCACTGAACTGCTAACTTCAAGGTCAGTGGTTCAAACCCACCAGCCTTGGAAACCGTATACAGGGTCACTATGAGCTGGAGCCAACTCAATAGCACATAACAACAACAGATGACTTATGCATTAGGAAAACCTTTTCAACAAAAGATGGTTTTATGTGTGTGAGTGTGTGTGTGTGTGTGTGTGTGTGTGTGTGTGTAGAGAGAGAGAGAGAGTCCTGGTGTGGCGCTGTGGGTTAATGCGCCAGACTGCAAAGCTGTTTGAACTACAAGGCTGGCAGTTCGAGGTCACCAGCTGCTCCTCGGAAATCCTATCCAGGGTCGTTATGGGTCGGAACTGACTCAATCAATGCACTTTAACAACAACATATATATGTACTTGGACCTCACAGGTCAAATACACAAAAAGCAAATATATTAGGTCTGTGGAAACAGTGACAAAGTTCCGTATCATCAATCAGAACAAGGCCTGGGGCTACCTGGGGCAGACTACCAACTGCTTAGAATCAAGTTCAAGTTGAAGCTGAAGAAAATTTTAAAAAGCTCATGAGAGTCAAAGAACTACCTTTAGTATACATGAGGAAATCAAAAGGACATTAAGAAGTTGGAAATGAGACAAAAGGAACAAAACAAAACAAAACTGAATGTCAGAAGACTCTGAAACTAGTTCTTGAACACCAAGTAGCTAATGCAGCAAAGGGAGGACATGATAAACTGGAAAGGGCTGAACGGAAGATTTCAACAGGTGGCTGGAGAAGACAAAGTATTATAATGTCATGTGCAAAGACCTGAAGACAGAAAACCAAAAGGGTTTGGCATTTCTCAAGCTGAAAGAACTAAAGGAAATATTCAAACCTCGACTCACAATACTGAAGGATTCTATGAGCAAAACCATAACAATGGAGAAATCATCAAAATAAAGTAGAAGGAATACACAGTCACGGAACCAGAAGGAAGTGGTTGACGCTCCTGAAGTAGAATATGAACAAGAAGCGATGGTATGAAAGACAGTCAGGCTGCACTGAAGGTAACTGGTGTAAAGCCAGGTCCAGGAACTGAGATGTTCCAACGAGCATATGCAATGCTGGAAGTGCTCAGGTCTATGCCAAGAAATGTGGAAAACGCCCACTTGTCCAACTAACTGGAAGGCATCCAAATCTGTCCCCATGCCAAAGAAAGATAATCCAATGAAATGCAGAAATTATTAAACAATATCATTAATATCAAATGCAAGAAAAATTTTGCTGAAGATAATTCAAAAACATTTGCAGCAGTACATCAGCAAGGAACTGCAATAAATTGAAGCCTGATTCTGAAGAGGACATGGAACAGGGGACCATCATTGCTGATGTCAGGTGGATATCTTGGGTGAAAGCAAAGAATATCAGAAAGATGTTTACCTATCTTTATTGACTAGGCAAAGGCATTCAACTATGTGGTGGATCGTAACAATCTACGGATAACAGTGCAAAGAATGGGAATTCCAAAACACTTGTGGAAACTCTACCTAGCTCAGGAGGTAGTCAGTGGACTAGACCAATCAGAAAAGGCGTACACCAGGGTTGTGTCTTTTTACTGGATTTATTTAACCTGAGAGGCTGGGCAATATGAAGAACGCAGCCTCAGGATTGGAGGAAGCTCATTAATAGCCTGTGATGTACAGATGACACAACCCTGCTTGCTGAATGTGAAGAGGAACTATAGCACTTGCTGACAAAGAGCTAAGACTACAGCTTTCCTCAGGATTAAATCTCAACATAAACAAAAAATCCTCACAAATGGACCAATACATAACATCTTGGGTAAATCTGCTGCAAAAGACCTCTTTAAAGTGTTAGAAAAAAAAACCTCAAAGATGTCACTTTGAGGACAAAGGTGCATCTGACCCAAGCCATGGTATTTTCAATCATCTCACATGCATCCGAGAGCTAGACAATGAATAAGGAAGACCAGAGAAGAGTTCATGCATTTGGACTATGATACTGGGGGAAATAAATTGAAGACAGCATGGACCACAGCAAAAAGGAACAAATCTGTGTTGGCATTAGTAGAGCCAGACTGCTCCTTAGAAACAAGGCGACGAGACTTTGTCGCAATGCATTGTGGACCTGGTATCAGTCCCTGAAAGACATACAGGGGAAGACGCAGCGAACAAGAGGAAACGTCTCAGTGTGAAGGACTGCCACAGTGGGCATGTCCACAGCAAGGACTTGAGGACGACGCCACAGACAGAGGCCACTATGAGTCAATGGCACCTAACAACAGGAGGACAAAGGATACTGTATAGCGGACAAGTTTCATAGAAAAACTGTTTTCATGCCAAAGTGGGAGAAAGAAGCAGAAACATATACCGTTACAGTAAAAGGTACATAATAAAGGCAATCTAATCATTACAAAGCTCTGTCTTTAGGAAACAAAATCATAGGTTTACTTTTTGTTTGTTTTCCTTTTACACTTACAAAATTGAACACCTGACCATGTAATTATTTTAAAATCAGGAGAAAACACTGGAAACATTCTAGAATGAAGCACCAAAACCAACCAAATGTCTGGGAGCAGAGGGCCCCCACCCAGGCTGCTTGGATGGGGAGACAGACAGGAAGCCCGGGAGCCGGGTGTGACATGCTCCCACACACAGGAGCCTGGGGGCCTTTCCATGTCCTTGGTGGCCCAGGGCATAACACACGCCTGCGTCACTCCTGTGTCTGGACAAATGGAGGGAGATTTGTTTGGAGCTGCGAGCTCTGTCCTGGTTCTCTGAGAAGAGCAGGAGGAAGAGGGCTGGCTGCCAGGCTCATTTCTACCCCAGAGACAGAAGTTAACTTCAGTCAGCACGATTCCCTCCCTGAACTGAAATTTGCTGGGTAAACGGTGAACTTGATGTCTGATATTTTAGTATTAAGAAGACCTGAGGTTTAGCTGAACTCTGGTCTGGGAAGGAGGCCCACCTGCAAGAGGAAGACTGGGATACTTGCCAAAGTTTGGGAGATCTGCTGAGTTGAGAAAGGTGCTGACTAAGAGGTGAGAAATGAGAGCCAAGGGGTCCTGACGCTGCTTCCCGGCTACAAGCCAAGCCAGGCTGTTTAGTTAGCAAGGGGCAGAGAAGGTTGGTCCCCGGAGGAGGGCTGAGGCTTAGGGCAGGTCCAGTGAAGAGCTTGTCTGCTCCATGGAGAAGGGAAGAACGTGCTCTCCACATCAGGAGCCCTTCCAGACAGACCCCATTCCAGACCTAGCCTGGGCTTCCTGACACTGACCCCGAGTTGTGTTTTCCTAATAAATCACACACCTGTGAGTTCTCTGTAGCCAACACAAGACATTCTAGAAAGCTGCAGGAAAGCCAAGTGCCGCTGAGCAGCAGCCAGTGTCAGAACTCACGGAGAAGGAAAAGGGGAGATGCCTGGCTTCAGGCCCGAGGGAGCCTACATCAGAGCAGTGGTCAGAGTGCTGAGTGTGGGGACTTCTGAACATGGGGAAATGCAACTGAATGGGCTCCCACCCACACTTCCTGAGCATCTACAGGGCCGTGTTAAGCACTGCCGGACAAAACTGAGCAAGAACCTGACACTCCTTGGAATTCTGTGCAGGAGAGGCGACATTACTGCAGGGCCATCACAAGGCTTCGTGCTAACAGGTGGACATGAAGAAATGCTCTCAGCGTTGGATGACTGAATGTTAGAAAAAAGGTTTCACATACTCAAATAGCCAGGTAGTTAGCTACAACCGCTTAGCTTCTCAGGCCTCAGCTGTAAGCAACTGATTCCTAGGGTGTCATTTCAGGAAACAACGACAACACCCCAAGAGGAAAGAGCCCAAGAATCTCAATGCCAACCACAGCATGGACCTAAAATCCACTCACTACCCAGGTGATAGCCAAGAGATGGCACACTCATCACCTACCCATGGTGGCCCACGGCCTACCCAGGTACACGCACAGGGAGGCCGCCCTCACCCACTCCCCCCCACGCCTCTACCCCCCATGTGTGGTGTCGCCTTCTCCCTTTATACACATTATGTACACGTTCCTGTACAAACATGACAAGCATCTCACTGGCTTACCTGAGAGCTGTTCTTTTCCCCAAGGCTGTGGGTATCTGCCTCAGAAGTTCTATTGGTATCTTGTGGGGTCTGTGAGCGAGGTGGGCTTCGCATGGTGTGGATAAGAATGGGAAGAGCAGAACATCTCATTAAAAGCGAAACCCCAAAGGCAGGACAATGTCCCCTCAGGGCAGAGGGACATCTTTCCTTGTAGCCAGCACCAGGCAAGGACCTGCCAGTTTCCTGTGTTCTGGGCTCTCTGGTGACAGCCATCAGCTGGCCCGCCTTCCAGGGCAAAGGCAGCCCACAAGAGTCTGGCCTTTGCTTCTGACTCGGTTATGCTGCCGATTCCTATCTGGGCAGTGCAGCCGGGCAGTGGCTCTGACCCTGGCTAAAAGGCCTCAGACTCAGGCTCAAGATGCTCAATGTCTCCGAGCTGGCTGGTGAGGACCGTGCCGCCTGCTCTTCAGTCAGAGAGCCAGGACAACTGCAGACTGGCCTGCACTGACCCCACCCACTCAGATAGCCCCTGGAGGCACTTACCTGTCACAGTGGGAGCTCTTGGAGCTACTCCGTCCAGACTCATGCTGGGCGTCCAGCAGAATCTTCTCCATGTCCCCATTGTACACAGACACCGAGGCTGGGACACTGCTCCCGTTTCCATTGCTGCTAAAGTGCAGTTCTACCCAAGAGCCTGCTGGGGCAGAGCAAAAAGTAAGGTCAGTTTCCTCCCACTCTGGAGCTTGGCCCACCCTCCCAACCCCAAGAGTGTCACCAGCAGAAGCCCATGAACCAGCTTGTTTCACTGCTCAGGCCCTTCTGGCACCTGGTACTGCAGGGGACACTCCCCCCTCCGCCCCAGGTGAGATACTTCAGCTCTTTATCTCTGGCCATTCCTTGATAGCAAGTAGCTGTTCAATCACTGTACTGGGTCTATCCGAATCCAATCACCCATGATGTTTTACCCAAACTAACAAAAGCTTAAGGGAGTGTTAAAAAAAGTTTAAACTGTATCTGATCACATGACTTCACACACTAGCATCACTTACTGACCTGAAAGCCCTATAAAATTCATATTCATGACTGGGATTCTGTTTTTATTTACACAGGAAATCACACAAATTCCTGAGTTAGCTGAAGTCAGAGAACTTGATTACCCAGGGCAATCTATCACTCAAGCAAAGCTATCATGTAGCCAAGTCTTTACAGGAAGTAGGACCAGCATTCTTATTACTTGTGTGAAAATACTTAGCGACAATAAGGTACCCCAGACAAACTGGCTCTATTTATGTAGACTGATCCTGAGAACTGTCTTCACATACTGAATACCACACACAGGAAAAAGGCAGCTCTCCCCTCCACACCTACAGGGAAAGCCGTTCCTCTACCAAGCCCTTCCCCAGCCCCACCATCGGGGTTACTCTGACCCCAGTGTGGAAACTGGGCTGCACAGATTGAGCTTCCTTGGGGGCAAAGTGACCCAAAGGGACAGCCTACTTAAGGGAGGCATTCTACTGTAACACACGGCTACAATGCAAGGGGACAAACATAAATCCCAAGCAGAGCCATCAGGCAGCTTCCCAGGGGCAAAGCCCAAAGGTTCACAGAATCACAGGGACCACAAAGGGTCTGGGCTCCAGTCAGGTGACGGCCCGTGTCTTGCCCCCTCCCACTTTGTGGCTGTGCAGAATTTCACCGTATGACCACACAAGGATTGTCCATCCTGTTGGACACCTGAATTACTTCCAGTTTGTAGATACTGCAAGGAATGTGTCCAAGAGTCTCACTGTGTGAATGTATACAAGGGGGCTTCAAAAGTTCATGGGGAAAATCCCACCATCTTAATTCCATTGTTCTGTGAACCTTTACAGCCTCTCATATATTACATTACCACAAACATGAGGGCTTTACAAGAGACATGTATGTCATCCTCCTTCACAGCTCTTGAGGCCCAGACACTGACAACGAGGTATCAGCGGGGCCAGGGTCCCTCCAGAGAAAGAATCGGCTCTGGCCTCTTCCAACTTTGGGTGACAGCAGGAATCCCCTGGCTGCGGGTCCCCTCCTCCGGCTCACCTCCATCTGCACATGGCGTTCTCCTGTGTGTGGTGTCCAATCTCTCCCTGCCTCTCCTACAAGGCCGCTGGATGGAGTGCAAGAGCCTCCATCACATCTACCAAGAGCCTTTAATCACATGAGCGGAAAGGATCACAGGCTTTAGGAATGTGGCGTGGATATTTTGGGGCGGCTGTTTTTTGGCCTACTGTAATGTGCACACATTTCTATTGGATGTTCCTCAGAGTGGGAATGCTAGCTTAAGAGGCAATAAATACATGTGTGCGACATGATCAGAAGATACCACAGAGATATGACAGTTTCCCAGTGTAACTGAGCCAACTTACAGCTGTTGTTAAGTACCATTGAGTTGGTTTCAACTTACAGTGACCCTGTATAGATAGGGGTTCCAAGGAACAGCTGGTGAGTTTGAACCACTGACCTGCTGGTTCAAACCGACCTAGCAGTCCAGTGTTTTATCCCACAATGTCACACCAGGACTCCAATTTACAGTAGTAACTCTAACTTCCAACAATGACAAGTTCTGCTGCTTCACATCTGGGCCCACACTTGGTATCGTCACACTCTGTTGTGTAAGCGGGTGTGTAGTGACATCTTGTGGTACTTTATTTTGCATTTCTCAGAGTTTTAATGAGGCTGAGCACTTCTTACGTTTACTGACCCCTTGGCTCTCAAACCTTTCTCTTATTGCTTTGTGTGAGTTCTGTATTCTAGATTCAAGTCTTATAACTCAATGATATGGGCTGCAGCAAACATCACGCCCTCTGTGGCGATTCTCCTAACAAGTCTTCTGATGAACAAAAGCTCTTCATTTAGTCCAATCACAGTGTATCATTGCTTCTTTGGTATTCTATTTCAGAAATCTTTTACTGAGCTGAGGTCACCAAGACACTCCGCTATGATCTTCAAAAAGCTTCACTGCTTGGGCTTCCACACTGAACTCACTTGTGTGTGATCTGAGACAGGTTGTGTTTCTCTGCATGCATGGACTGCCTGGAACTGCTGACTGTAAAGGCTCTCTTTCCCCTCTGCTGTGGGACTTCAGCATTGATGAAATGTGCCACAGGCTCCCTTCTGGGCCAGCACAGAACCTCCATTTGTGCCATTAGTGTTTGTAAAGACCACTCTGGCGGCACATAGGGGAACGAATGCAGCAAGGAGAGGGGGAAGGCAGCTGACTGAAAACTTACATACTAGAAAATAGATCAGCTCAAACTAATGTTGTCGTTGCTATACGTCTATTAAATACAACAAACTACTCTGCTATTCTGTCAAACTAACATGGCACAATGCCACCCCATGCAATTACAGGGAAAGGGCGCAGACTCTCCATCACCCTGTTGTTGCAAAGCCACGGCAGGCTGCAGTGTTCCAACACTGTAGACATCTCTTCTCAAAGTTCTATCTGAGCCTCCAGAAGTCACATGCAGGATGCAACACATGAACCACAAAGAGGCAAACCAGGAATGGAATGTCAATTTGCAGCTTACATCATCAACAGCTTCCGAGTTAACTGCTAACAAGGTGGTTATGCAGGTTCGCAAAGGATACGGGATTTTTCCCACCTAGGCCTGGACCTGCAGGGAGGCCGCAGCTCCCTGGACGAGAAAAGCCTAGCCACTACACCTTCAATGACTCCTGAGCTTTTACGCACAAAGCTCTGAAAACCACGTTGCTGATTCGACTCCAGGTGCCCCCATGCTGATGCCCCTCACCACAAAGCTCAGATGTGAGTCCTCCATTAGCCCCTTCCCTTCCTGCCTCGAGTTCAAGATGACACTTAAGTGGCCAGCTCTGGCCCTGTGGCCTGAACCCATGACACAGCCCTGCGTTGGGCACCATTCCGTATTTCTAAACTTACGTTCCTCAGCTTCTGGGCTGCAGTTAACTGACTCAAGTGTTCCCAGATCTCTGATGGTAACTCGCATCTATGCAATTCTTTTTCTTTTCTTTTCGGGGGGTGGGGCATGCCATTTAAAGCTGCCTGATCAAATGAGTCCTTAGCATCACTGCAAGTCAAAATTCAACTCGCCAGGGCCAACAGCAGCAGACATCCTTAAGAAAGAAAAATCTCACTCTGGATTACCCAAGCAAAACAGCTTTGGCTTCAAAAGCTTTATTCCAACCAGAGGTTTAATAAGCAACAAGAGCTTTGTTATTACACAACGTCCACTTCCTGGGAAACACGCAAACACGGGCTGTCTGCTGACCTGGGTCTTAGTTAGGAAGACCATTCTGTTTTTAGGCAAGGACGATGTGGTACAGGGCTGCTGAATCACCCAGGAAACGTCTTCATGGTCACTATATGAGAGGGAAGATGTGGCTTCTCAGAGGCAGTCCTCATTCTCAGGCAGCAATCCTCATTTGTGCCATCGTGTTATGTCCTTCTCCCACCTCACGTACTTCAATTTTACACTGCTAACGGAGTCCTGGGGTGGCACTGTGGGCTAATGTGTCAGACTGCAAAGTTGTTTGAACTGCAAGGTCGGTGGTTCAAGCTCACCAGTTGCTCCTTGGAAACCTTATATAGGGTCACTATGGATCAGAATTGACTCGATGGCACTTAACACCACCAAAGACACACATACAGCAAGTCACCCTGAAACCCTCTCTGAACAAGGTAGATGAGATGAATGGGAAATAAATAATACTTAGCTCATACTCTGGTAACAGAAAGGACAGGTCTACCACGGAGATCAAGTATAATCAACCACTTCTGGGTCCTCAACCTATTTCTTAGTTTCATTTATTCTCCGTTTTTACAAACAGGTATATATTTCCATGTCTACACAGTTGTAGTTGTTAGCTGACATCAAGTCAGTTCCGTCTCATAATGACCCAATGTACAAGAGCCCCCAACACTGCCTGGTCCTGCGGCATCCTCGGCGGCTGCTCTGTAGAGCACTTTGTTGCAACCACTGTGTGAACCTGCTTCCTTGGGGTCTTCCACTTTGGCACTGAACTTTCCCAAGCATGATGTCCTTCTCCAGAGGCTGGTCCATCTTGATAACATGTCCCAAGTATGAGATGAAGTCTCATCACTCTGGCTTTCAAGGAGTCAGGTGTGACTCAGAGCAACCCTACAGATAAGGTTTCCAAGACTGTAAATCTTTACAGGGGCAAACAGCCTCATCCTTCTCACACGGTGTCACTGGTGGGTTTGAACTGCCAACTTTGTGGTTAGAAGTCCAGTGCTTATTCTACAGCACCACCAGGCCTTCTAACAGTCCATGGTGTCTTCCATAGTTTTCACCAATGCCACAATTCAAAGGCATAGACCCTTCTTTGGTCTTCCTTATTCTTTGTCCAAGTTTCACATGTATGTTGTTGTTGATATTAAGTGTCTTCACGTCAGCTCCAACTCATAGCAACCCTATTATGGTTTCTGAGGAGCGGCTCGTGGGTTTGAACTGCTGACCTTGCAGTTAGCTGTTAAGTGCTCATCCTACAGCACCATACCAGGATGAGGCAATTGAAAATATCATGGCTTGGGTCATCTCTTTTCAAGATGCCATCTTTGGTTTTTTCCAACACACTACAGGTCTTTTGCAGCAGATTTGCTTGTACATCAGTTGTTGAACCCATGCGTGCCCCCTAGGCTTTTCCAGGCTATGCACTTTCCAAAGCAGATCACTAGGCCTGCCTTGCTTCAGAGGTACCACAGGGTGGGTTCCAACCGCCCACCTTTCAGGAAGTGGTGGTAATGTCTCTGTACTACACAGGGATCCATACCTTTGTGTGAGTTCTGACTTCCAGCTTCTCTATATGCCCCAAACAGCTCCTTTCCTGCCTCCACTGCCCAGCACCCACTTCTTAACCAGGAGTAGAAGGTGTGGACTGTAATCGCAGGGTGGTCCCTGCTCTAAAGACCACTAAACTCTGGAGTGGTACTTCTCAACCCTGACTTAGGGAAGGGGAATAGCCTGCGGGGCTTTTTCTGAATTCGGACTTGGAATGTGGGGTGGGGGGGACCCAGGAAAAGGTGCTGTCACTGGCTGGGGAAATATGCAGACAACCTCAGGACAGGGTCAACGGCAGCTCAGAGGGCAGAGAGGGAAAGTCTGCAAGCTGCAGCTAAGCCTGGAGGGTCCCCACAGCACCCCCCACTCCCCCAGAGTGAGGACTGCTGCCTCAGGAGAAGAGGCCTTGGAGAAACTGCTCCTTCTACGGTTCAATTTCTCAGACTACCAGGGAGATGCCAGAGGCTCACGTGACCAATGGTTTTAAGCATAGAATCAACTGTGGACAGGATCCCAGCGGGGGGCTTCTAGCCGGGGCGGCTCCATCTCAACCTTCCTTTGGCTGGGCTGGGCTGAGCAAAGCTCCGGCAGCCCCCTGGCATTTCAGGCAAAGTCCCGGGAGTGTCCATAATTGCTGCTATCTAATGGGTCTAGGCCTCATGCAGACCATCTTTAGAACGCAGGGCTTGGGTTAGAATCTAGACCTCTGAAACCCCTTCCAGTTTCAAAACTTTTTTGTTTTTATGAAGTGCTGTCGAGTCAGTTCTGACCCATAGCGACCCTGTACAGCATTTCTGAGCAGCTGATGGGCTTGGACCACCAGGCTTAGGCTGACTGTAACGTAAGATGCTGTAATTTCCCTCCAAGAGAAATACAAATTCTATTTCTGGCCATACAGCCTCGCCCAGGGTGGGTTCCTATGAAGCAGCAGCACTGAGCAGTGAAGGAGCGCTCTCTAGGAGTGAACGGGTAGCAAGCACCTTCTGGGGTGGGTGCACTCGGAAGCAGCTCGGCTCTGTTCTTCTGGAAGTCAGTCATGCACCACCACCCCCACTATCCCAAAGTGCTACTGGGGTCCCATACTGCCACACAATTCTGTGTTCCGCCTGCATTTCAGCAGTAACATACCGAAGGAGAAAAAGGCAAATTCAAATATTCCCCTAGTCAACAGCTTTCACTAGAACAGATGTACGGGTAAAGAGGGATGGATCTCTTAACTCTGGGAAACAGCTGGCCACAGAGGAGACGCAAGTCCAGGGGCTAAATGTTTGCTCTGTCTGTAGGTTTGGCCACCAGTTCTCCCAACAGATGTAAACAAGAGGGACTCCGATCAGAACAGAGCGGGACAAGTGCTGACTCCCTTCCAACAGCTGTGTGGCCCCACGTGACTCACTGGACTGGCGGCCAGTAAGTGTCCTGCTGCACGTAACTTGCTGCACGTACACTCAGAAAATGGCCCAAAGAATCCTTGCCTGAGTTTCCACTGCGTGGAACCATCTTTTAATAGACTAAGCAACACAGAAAAACAAAAACCCCTTTTAACTCCCTAACTGGCCATCTAGTGCCACAAATGACTCAGCACTTGGGTTTCTAAGGCCACTCGCTACCCCTCCCCCCACCAGGTCACAGGGGGCTCTTCCCGGGCTGACATTTGGGGTCTCATGTCTGAATCAACAGTACAATACAATATTCAATCTTAGATGATTTGATGGCAAACAGTGAAGGCAAAAAGTTGATCCAACATCCCTGGGATCTTATTTTGTGAGAAAATAGGGAGGGGGGAGGGATTTCTTTCATCTGTTTCAAAGAACAAGTCAATATTTAAGTTTAAAAGAGTCATCCACCTTAGAGGATGTAAAAAACTGGTTGGCTGTAGTTGTAAGTACTATTAGAGGGTGGCTATGACTTGGTACGGGCTCCTGGTATGGCGCTGGGCTACAAGGTGGGTTTAAACCATAACGTCGGCGGTTCAAACTCACCAGCCGCTCCCTGGAAACGCTATACAGAGTCACAGCCGACTCCAAGGTACTATTAACACCAGGAGCTGGCGCAGATTCAAGGGCACCTCAGCAGCAGACAGTAATGCGTTTGGGGCCCAGGGAAGCTGTCATTGGCAGCTGGGAGCTCAGGGGCTGTGGGGGAGCTGATGCAGACCACCCCCACCCCCCCAAGGCTCACTGTTTGCAGAACTCTAGTTCTGGGGAGGGTAAAGTCCCCCAGGCCCAGGAGAGAGGCGGAGTAAAGGGGGTGCAGTGGTCAGATGAAAGGTCAACTGTTCAAAGCTCAACAGCTGCCCCCCTCCCCCAGAAAGATGTGGCGTCTGCAGTCGCGATGGCCGCCTTAGGAGCCCCGAGATTCTGCTCCGTCCCCGAGAGCCCAGGCGCCGCGGGAGAAAGGGGTGGCTGTCAGCCGCCACGCCTCGATCCCATCCTCAGGGGTGGGCACGACCCGAGGGTTGTAGGGGGAAGGAGACCCCGGCTCGGATACCGACGCCCTACCACCTTAGCTCGGGAAAGGGGCTCCGGTGTGACCCCTTTCCCGTCAACCAGAAGGTGGAGATGGGACCATCGGCTTGGCCCAGCCCACTCGGCGCGGCCCGGGCCGGACAGAACCGGGTCGGCCCGGAACCCTGACTGGGGTGGGTCTGCGCCCACCTCGACCGCAGCCCACCCGACCAGGGCGCAGGGCTCCTCTATAGCTCCCATCACGACCTCGCCTCCGAAACGCGCGGCCGCTCGGAGCCCCCTACCCCCAACGGCCGGCGCCCCCAACGCCCCCGCCGCCTCACCCTGCAGGTTCTCGTCCTGCAGCCCGGGGACCCCGCTCTGCGACATGGCGCCGGAGACCGGCGGGGACAGCAGGGACGGAGGAGGGGCCCGACGGCAGCTCGAGCAGCGCCTCACGCAGATTCCGGGGCCGCTCGCAGGCCACAGACGCGCTGGAGCAACCCGCTGACGGTGACCCGACCGACTGGACGCTAGGCAGCCG